ATTATTCAGGTGGATACCCTAGACCAAAAAGGAACTGAGACAAAACAGGTTTACAGGACAGAGTAAACCTGACCCTGCAGCAGAGAGAAGTGAAAGTTCTGTAGCAGAATATACCCTGTTCAGTTCAAGTAGCTCCAACCAACACAGTTTACCTAGAGGGACTGTTGCTGCCACAGTGACTCTTCTTAATTACAGCCAACCCCTAGAAAAGCTGTGCAGGTAATACTTCAGCCTGGCGTCTCAAATTCTAACTCCACTGGGTAACAACAAAAGAAAGATTCAAAAACTGACATCATAGAATCCAGTGGAATGTAGTCTTAAGGTCATCTGGGTCTTACCTTGTGACTTCTATGTCAGAGAGGTAGAAAGGTGAAACTAAGAAAATTGGTGTGAATTACAGCTGCTATTTTGAAATTTTGTTACAGTTGGATCGTTAAAAGACTGAAAAATTGTGCCGGGCGTAGTGGTGCACACCTTTAATCCCAGCACTGGGAGGCAGAGGCAGGCGGATCTCTGTGAGTTCAAGGCCAGCCTGGTCTACATAGTGAGTTCCAGGACAGCTGGGGCTACTGGGAGACCCTGCCTCAAAAAGACCAAAAAAAAAAAAGATTGAAAAATTTTAAAAATAGATTTGGTTCTTGTTAGATGGGTTTTGTTCTGGAAGCCGTATTTGATAATACATTAATCTTCAAAGGTCATGTTTTTTTTTCTTTTTTCTTCAATTTTTGTTCTATGTGTATGAGTGTATTGCCCGCATGTGTGTAAGTGTACCCATGTCATACAATGCCTGCAAAAAGTCAGAAGTGGACATCAGAGCCCCTAGAACTGGAGTTATGGACAGTTGTTAGCTGCCATGTGGGTGCTGGGAATTAAACCTGAGACCTATGCAAGAGCAGTCAGTGCTCTTAACCACTGAGCCATCTCTCCAGCCCCAAGGTCATGTTTTTTGTTTTGTTGTTTTGTTTGTCAGTCTTGAAAAAAATAGTAAAGCCAAGTCTGTTTATACTGTATGTTTCACATAGATTAATAGCATCCATCCTAACATCCTTTAATTATTACTTGTTTTAAAATAATGGACATGGTGTTGGAGAGTTGGCTTAGCAGTTAAGAGCACTTGCTGCCTTTGCAGAGGACTGGAGTTTGGTTCCCAGCACCCATGTTGGGTGGTGGCTCACAACTATCTAACTTCATTGCCATTTTCTGGCCTCTGTGGGCACCTAAATGCATGTGTGCATAGACACACACACACTGACACAGTACACATAAATAAAATCTTAAAAAAAGAAACACATAGAAACTATATTTCTTTATCACTCATTTATAGATTACAAATTAACATCAGGGAGAAATTGGCATTTATGCAGTAAAAAGTTTTAGTCTTTTTTAACTCATCTAATATAGTGATTGTGAAATTCACAGTGATAATGGTTCTCAATGAATACCTGCTTTGCTTTACTACATGAATGAAACTAATGATTCAGTTTTAGCGGTAATAAATAACAATTATGTGATCACATGATCACAGGACTTCAATTCACACTATTCTGTGCTCAAAAAAAGAAAACAAACAAACAAACAAACAAACAAAACTATGTACCTGGAAAACACTGAATGAAATATTACCTAGGTTTTTCTGTAAGTAGGTAGAATTTTTGATATGCTTTAGTGTGCATATTTTGGCATTTTAGGTGAGGTGGTATCTTCTTTATTAACACATGAATTGTGTCTCAAACTGAATGAACATTTTGGAATAAATTATTGCTGTATTTTTTTTTCCAACAGGGTCGCCCTAGTCCCAACCCACCTGGAAGTCACTATGTAGACCAGGCTGGCCTCGATCTCGCAGGGATCTGGGATTAAAGTCACACTACTGTATGTTTTTTTAAAAAGACTGTCCAGGGTGGCTCAGTGGTTAAGAGCATTGGCTGCTCTCGCAGAGGACCCAGGTTTGATTCCCAGAACCCACATCATAGCTCTCAACTGCCTGTAACTCTAGCTCTAGGGCCCTTCTGACACCCTCTTCTGGTTGTCCTGGGTACCAGGCATGCATGTGGTATCCATATAAACGTGCAGGCCTTCACACATACACATAAAATAAAAAATAAAAAGTCCTAGGTGTGGTGGCCCATACCTTTGATTCCCAGCACTTGGGAGACAGGTTTATCTCTGTGAGATAGAGACTAACCTGGATATGGTCTACATATCCAGTTCCAGGTCAGCTGAGGCTACAGGGAGACCATACCTCAATAAAATAAAACAAAATGAAATAAATGAATAAAAATCTTTAAAAAAAAATCCCATGACTGTCATTTCCCTATTAAGTTCCTTTGCTGCCTTTGATGAAAATCTGTTCATGGAATTTCTTATGTTTTTATTATTAAATGTGCAGTATGTTAGGAATATTCATATATAATAGATACATACACAGTATGAAAATTTGAAACATAAGAACATTTCCCTAATAATTAGTGATGTTGAACATCTTTTAAGATGTTTCATAGCCGTCTTTACTTCTTTTTGTTTTATCGTTCTGTTCAGCTCCTTAGCCCATCTTTCAATTGGGTTGCTTCTTTTCTTGTCTTGGTTCTCTGTATTTTGAGTTCATTATATATTCTGGTTATTAAACCTCTGTCAGATGTGTCGCTGGTGAAGATTTTCTCCCATTCTGTGGGTTTTCTATTTGCTATTTTGGTTGTCTCCTTTGATATACAGCTTTTTAGTTTAATGAGGTCCCATTTGTTAGTTTTTGCCCTTGTTTCCTGAGCAATTGATGTCTGAAAGGTTTAGAAAATCCTTTCCTATGCCTGTATCTTGTAGGTTTTTCCCAATGTTTTCTTCTAATAGTTTCAGAGTCTTAGGCTTTACATTGAGGTCTTTGAGCCATTTGGAATTGACTTTTGTGCAGGGTGAAAGATAGGGGTTTAGTTTCATTCTTCTATAAGTGCAGATCCAGTTTTGCCAGCACCATTTGCTGAACATGTTGTCTTCCTCCAGTGAATATTCTTGGCCCCTTTGTCAAATACCAGGTGGCTGAAATTGCAATTACTCATATTTGGGTCTTCAATTTTGTTCCATTGGTCTATGGGTCTTTTTGTGTTCCAGTACCATGTTGTTTTTATGACTATAGCTCTGTAATACAG